TGCTGACATAAGCAGTAGCGAGGGCTAGGCTAGCCACACTAGAGTCAGATTCCTCAGATTCCTCCTCTTCCACATTTTCCTCAGATTCAGCTTCAGAGTCCATTTCCTTGCCAATGAATGCCCGGGCCTTCTTGGAACTGCTCTTCTTGTGAGATGAAGATTTTGAGGATTTTGATGATGAATACTTTGAAGATTTCTTTTTCTTCTTTGAATCATCAGAATCATCATCTTTGTACTTATTCTTCTTTGATTCCTTTTCCCACAGAGGACAATCAGACATGTAGTGACCAGGTTTCTTGCATTTGTGGCAAGTTCTCTTCTTGTAGTCACGAGACGAGGAATCATCATTTCTTAAAGACTTTCCAAAAAGACCATGGCGAGAGAACTTCTGGAATTTCTTCACGAGCATTGCTAGCTCCTGGCTCAATTCTTCAGGATCACCAAGGCTGCTACCAGAGTCTTCAGCTTCAGACTCAGATACTGCCTTGGCCTTCAGAGCACGTGATCTATCGTAGCTCGGTCCATAGAGATCTCTCTTCTCAGCAAGCTGGAACTCATGAGTGTTTAGCCTCTCGAGGATATCAGCGGGATCTAGTGACTTGTAATCGCCTCGCTCTTGAATCATCAGTGCAAGGGTATCGAATGAGGTATCGAGTGACCTCAGCAATTTCTTCACCACCTCATGATCGGTGATGTCAGTGGCGCCAAGCGCTTGAAGCTCATTTGAGATGTCAGTGAGGCGATCGAAGGTTTGCTGAACATTTTCGTTGTTGAGTCTCTTGAAGCGGTTGAAGAGATTGCGAAGAACATCAACTCGGGAGTCATGTTGAGTTGAGACTCCTTCATTGACCTTGAACAGCCTGTCCCAAATCATCTTGGCAGTTTCCAAAGCATTCACTCTGTCGTACTATCCTTTGCTCAGATGGCCACATATGTTATTCTTTGCTTGAGAATCAAGTTGCTCGAATCTCTTCATATCAGCAGCATTCATAAGGGAGTGACTAAGGGAACACCATTTTCCACAACATACCAAAGATCGTTATCAATTGCCTCAATATGCATGCTCATCTTGTTCTTCCAGTAGGGGTAGTCCGTCCCATCAAAGGTAGGACACCCAGCCGAGACCTTAATCATACCTGCCGTCAACATAACTAAAACTCCAGGTGGTTAAACCAAAATCACACAAAACAATGGAGTACCTTGCTCTAATACCAATTGAAAGTGCGTTACGTCGAGTAGAAGGGGGGGTGAATAGGCGATTTTTATGAATTCTTCACTGAGGAATTTCAAGGTGAGGAAATTCCTAAGCGAAGAACTACTTGCAGCGGAATAAGTACTCAGGTATAAGCATAACAGAGCAACAACATAGTCATCATGATGAAATGAAAGACAAACACAGAGTACAGAAAAGCGTAAATACAGGATAAGCAGGATGAAGACAAACTGACTGAAGAATTAGGATTGAGAAATTTAGACAAAGCCTTCAGTCAAAGTCTTCAAACAGTAATGATCAGGTACATCAACACATACAGAGGAAATGAAAGGGTTGAGGAAATAGAACCAGTAGGCTCTGTGAAGACAATGATTTGGTCGACCAGTTCCAACAGATGTGACAGTTGTACGTCTGGTTGGAGCGGCTGAGTATTTAAACTCGAGGACACACAGTCCTCACCGTATTCTCCTTGAGCTAAGATCATGCAAATCTCGCCCAACAGTAGTGGTAAGTCTTCACAGGTGACTTCCAAACCTTCACAAACTCGGTCACTCAACAATCCACAATTCCTCTTGGATGCTCAGACCATGACGCCTAACTGTCTATAGGATACACGGTCCTCAAAGGTAACAAGCGTCGGTTCCACGCAGGAACAATCTCTTCAGTGATGCTCGATCACTTTGGGTTTGTAGGTGTTTGGGTTTGGGATTTGGGTATTTCCTCAGTTGATGGTTTTCGCTCAAAGTCCTCGGAGGATGGGATGCTCTCAAATGACAAGTGTCAGTTTCTCTTGGAGCAGCCAACCGGCTAGTGGTTGTAGGGGGCGGCTATTTATAGCCTAGGGAGCAGCCCGACATGATAAGACATAAATGCCCTTGGCTGATATGACCGTTAGGTGGTAGGATATTTTTGGGACAACTGGCATGTGGCTCAGCAGCGGTCGGATATCTGAGGTTCGAATTCCTCAGGGCTATCATGTTCCTTACTGTGTAGGCAATTCACACTGGCGAATTCCTAACTCCTCAGTCGGAACAAATTCCTCAGAGACCAGAAGATCTCCGTCTCTGTCACTGAAGAAATCGAATGAACTGATATGAGATTTGCAATGGCTTCACTCGAAGGATTGGGTAGGTGTAGGATTTTGAGATGAGCATCACTTGGAAATCAGTTTCCTTAGTATTACCTCGCCCCCCTTTAACAGTACGGTGTTTCATATGACTTAAGAAGAAGAAAATGAAACTATGAAAACAACAGTCTTCGCGCTTCCTAATCCTCGCATGAATATCCATGTCTTCAGGGTCACACCAATTTCTTCATTTTCAAAGTCTTCAGGAGAACCAAAGTCTTCAGCTGAAGACATTCATTTTTAGGGTCGACTTTCACTGTAAATATCAAAATCCTCCTCGACTTATAGAACCTGTGTATACTCACAAACACATTAGTCCCTTAACCTATAAGTCTTCAATACACCAAAATCACTAAGGGCACTAGATGCACTTACAAAATTCTTCTACTGAGGACTCCTGTTCTTTGACCCAAAATTACAAAGGGACATGTTACTTCTACTAGGAGTTGAATCCTTAGTAAGGAGTAACATGTTCCTTTGTAATTTGGTTTTTGACTCCCGTTCTTTATCATTTCAAGGCTGCTATTTCCTATTATTGTTGAGCTGTAGAACAAGATGACCTATCAGAGGCCGATTTGTAAGCAATGCAAATTGATTCTTCAGGAGTGATAGAAAATTCATACTTACACAAATCATGGGTCTCTTTAATTCAAAGGATTATCATAGAATTTTTGAATGAAAAATTTCCTACATAAGTCGTTTGATTCGTATGATTGAATCCTATATAAAATAAATTCTACTTTTTACTACATTCCATAGGAACTTTATGAACCACTCAATGATTCAAACCACTTAAAAAATCCTTTGCGATCAAATAACTCAAATCATGTATATAGAATTTAAATGGACATCGCATTATATTTCTACGTTTTTAAAATAAGTAAAATGCATCATTAGTCCTAAATCTATTAGAGGTGTGTCACTTTAGTCCTATAACTTTAAAACTGCAGTTTTGGATCAGTCAAAGTAGGAGTCGCATGTATTAGTTATGATGTTCTTGGGATTGTAGCCAGGGATCAAAACTATTAGAGGTGTGCCAGGTTAGTTCTATAACTTAAAAATGCAGTTTTGGGTCCTAAAACTATTGGTGGTGCGTCAGTTTAGTCCTATAACTTAGAAATTGCAGTTTTGGGTCCCAAAACCATATAAGTTTGTTCATCTTAGGTCATAAGCTTGCATGGCCAGCATTGACCCTCCAACATGTCGCTTGGAGATGCTTGTATTGTTGCCACGTTGACCCAATGGACCCATCATGTTAACTTATGAAAGGTAAATATGCAAGAAAACTCCTAGAGTGTTGTCTCGACTCATTCTCGCACCCTTGTCTTCTTCCACGCATAGAATGTTGGGAGGCGACAATATGAAGACCATCAGTGGAATGATGGCTTGAGCTCAAGCGAGGCGAGTAGACCGGACATCTCGGCCTCACCCAACAGTAGAAGAATGACATGTCGCACAACGTCCATTTGCTACCCACCTGTGGTTGCTGCCGGGGCTGCGTCACTCTCGTCAACCTTTGCGTTAACTTCACGGTTTCCGCGCACTCCTCTGCGTCTTCCGGCAGCGGCGACAATTCCCCACCCATGGCCATGCTCGTGCGCAAACAACAACTTGCACGACCAACTCTATGACAAGGGTGTCGGGGCTACGATGATGTCGTGAGAGAGAGAGGGTGGGTGGGTGGGATGACGTCCTCCATCCAGATTGGCTTGGGATCTCTCCGGCAGCTGCGCCAAGGGATAGGGATGCCGTCCTTCATGCCGACTGGCTCAGGGTCTCCCGGGCGGTCGCGCCAAGCCTCCCAGTGAGGCTGCCCTGCAGCTCATAGCCACACAGGCGATGGACATTTAGATTGTAACACACACTGCAACTGGAATCATATGGACCACATTTGGGGAAGTAAGCACATATAAAGGGCTCATTTGAAAAAATGCACCATAGATGCTGGCCATGCAAGCTTAGGACTGGAGATGAACAAACTTACACAGGGGACCCAAATTTGCAATTTTAAAGTTGTAGGACTAAAATGGCACAGCTCTTATAGTTTTAGAATCCAAAACTGCAGTTTCAAACTAATAGGACTAAATTGACACATCTCTGATAATTTTAGGACCCAAAACTAAGTTATAGGATTAAACTGACACAATAGTTTTAGGATTTGTGATGTATTTTCTTATCTTATAATCTTATAAATATAAAAAGACCCAAAGGGGCATATCCAATTAATTTCGGTCATCCAATTATGTCAATCCAACGACCTAAATTGCTTTAATGTCGAGCGCTCAACACGTTTAGCGTGTAGTTAATTTCATACCAAATATAACGATGATCACAGAAATAATATCCTACATAATATCCGCATACACTTAATATACTTTAATTGCACGTACACATTGACTGCTTCTTAACAAAATCCTGAGTCCAAACCACGTGCCATGTGGACGAGGCGGCAAAACGACACACACCTATCTCGTGAGTCGTGACCGGCACCTCCGCCCGCAGCCGAGCCAACGATTGGCCCCGGCCCACCGCCGCACCGGGAAGCAAAATTTAGGCCACCCAAACCCGGGAGGAAAACCCATCCATTCCCGTTCAAACCCAGCTCACCTTCCTCCCCCCTTCCCACCCGCCGCCGGCGCCACCGCCGCCCCGGGACGAACGATGCTGCTGGTCAGCCAGGCTGCCAACGGCTCCCTCTCCGCGCGGCGGCTGCCCTCCAAGCCGCTCGCCAGCCGCCGCGGCGCCAACCCCTACCCTCTCTTCGCCGGCCCGCGCGTCGCGCGCCGCCGCCTCGTGCTCTCCGGCGCCGCCGACGCGCGGGACGCGCCCCGCCGCGCCTCCGCCTCGCCTCCCGCCCACGCGGCCGCGGGCGAGGGCCCCTCCGGCTCCCCCGCCGCCGCCGAGGACCCCGTCCTCCTCGGCGTCAGCGACGACCGCGTGCCCCTCGAGGGCGTCATCCAGGTCGAGAAGCCCGGCCAGGCCGACGCCCAGTCCAAGCTCGTCTCCTACGCGTAATCCCCGCACCCCCGGCGCGCCATTCCCCTTTTGTATTTATGTTCGTCTTCGATTCGCACGTTCGGTTCGTTCGCTGATCCCTTGCGTTCGCAGGAAGATAGGGCTTCTGGCCGGAGGGGATCTGCTTTGCCTGCTGGTCTTCTCCGCGATTGGGAGGCTCAGCCATGGCCTGCCCGTGCTTGACGTCGAGACGTTCAAGACGGCCGACCCGTTCATTGCTGGTCAGAGAAACGTGTCCACCCCTGCTTCTTTTTTCCTCTGCTGTTCTTCTGTTGGACGAAGGGGTTGCTAACTGAATCGGGTCTTCTGCAGGTTGGTTGCTTAGCGCCTACCTCCTTGGCGGATTTGGTGATGATGCCAAAGGAAGCAATGGTGTTGGGAATGCTGTAACTGTTGCGGCCAAATCCTGGGCTGTTGGGATACCGGTAATTTGTCTCCTATCAGCACTTGTACTCAAAACCCAAACAAGACCTTAATTTTATAATTAGAACGGCAATAAATCCACTGATTTCGTAATGCGTATTTATAGATTGTGAGTTCATGTTATGAACATTGTAGAGTGTATACCCATTTGCTTAACAGATAATCAGCCGTTGCCTGTTAGCCCGGTTCCATCAAGCTATCCATGTCCATTCTGCTGAGCATGTGTTCTATCGTGAATCCTTCGTAGTTCATTGTGTCTGATATGTTGTATTGTACCCGGCCTTTATCAATACATCTATTGGATGCATACGTCAATTTTTAACAAGGAATAGGGGAAAACCACCCCTTGTCGGCAAAGATAGCATACTGTTTTGGTTCCGTGGCTTTTGAAGGCAAGTTAGGGAGACAGTTTAAACATAATATATGAGAAAGCCTGTATTATCAGTTTCAGCAATGAAATTGGGGGGTACCCCTTAATTCGAGAAAAAAACTATATGAGAAAAGTTGAAGAGGATGGATTCATCTTAGAGAAAGGGCACAAGCAAAAAGTAGAATGGAATTTTTCCCAATAACCTAAAAAATTCCCTGTTTTTTTAGCTGTAATGTAATGTAGAGAGGCTCCTGCAGTCATGTATTAATCAAAGGTAAAATAAGGTTACATGATATGTAGTACAAGGTACAGGGTCTTTGACCCTAATCCATAAGGACTACACTTATGTCAGGGAACAAGAGTTCTAGGTAGTTTGCTCAAGAGTGCAAATCTTGCTTGAATCTAGACAGCCAGGACCTATGTGAATATGGAATCCTTTGGAAATCATATTGTTTCTTTCACATTTGACTCAAAATTTGAAGTATATATAGTCAGATAAGCTTGTTACACATTTGACTACCTTTTAGTAGCCCAATGAAGATGCATTGCTTTACAAATTTTTTATTGGCGCTACCAAATAGACAAATACATCGCCTTACTAAACAAACTAAGAATCTTCTCCATGGCTCTATCGACCGAGTGATGTGTCCAAACCTCTAAAATTGATTGTTGCCTTTCCTATCCTGTGGCAGTGATGATGTAAAAAAAAACCTAGTCAAAATTTTATGGTTCTGCAATCATGGGGAAGCAAATGCTGGCATTCTTTTGTGCTTGCGTACTTGATACATGCCTCACCTCAATAATGTCTTGTGGATATAAAGATGGTGTTCTGTTCTGTGTTTAACTTGTGCAATTTACTGCTATGTCTTATGGTTTATCTGTTGTGCTAGTTTCTTTTTATGCCAATATTTTTTGGGGGATAGTAATACCTGAAGCACAACACGACAGGTCTTGTATTTATGAGATTATAACTAAAGAAACAAGCAACGATGATGGCATGACGTGCATTGAGTATCTGTGGTTTTTGACATGCATGCTGTGGTGTTAAGTCTACGATTTCTATTTGTTTGGATCACTTTATAGGATTTTAGACATTTATGCCAATTTATTGCTCAAGATGTAGGCTATGCTAGGAGATTATTTGTTTCAGAGTGTTGAACCATACATAATTTTGTTAGATTTCCATGAACAAGACTACGAAATTCAGGAAATTTTACACAAACATAATCGAGCTTGGTCAGTCTTCTGAAGCTGGAGAGCCGTTGTTAACTTGCATAAGTCTGCACTTGCATCTATGTGTGTTCTGAACTCTCTAAAAACATGTTCATAATCATGTTTCTTATTATGTGATTGTTCCCACTCTTGTTTGTTTGATGCCTTCATTAGCATAGAAGCATCTGATGATGATGTGTCTGCTGGTTTTCGATGTCTGGTACTGACTTCAATGTGCTATCTCCTTTCAGTTGGGAATTGCCATTCGTTCAGTGACCGCTGGTCATATTCCACAAATTCCTTTCGTCTTGGTGGCCATGGGAAGTACTGGGGTCTTGTTGACTGCATGGCGTGCTCTGATTTCCCAAGTTCTTTCTGCTGGACAGAGCAAGAAGGATGATGTATACAGAAAGGGAAATCCTTTTGAGCTTTTCGAGGTTAGAAGTTTTTTTATATTTTAAACCATTACCACAGCATCGTTGATTTCATTCAGATGTTTCCATCGAAGGCCATTTTGGCTCAAAATTTTCTCTGAAATGTATCCTAGTACAATTGATTAGTCTATTAATAAACATGTCCTAACATATGCTTCCTTCTCTTTTGGCACATTTTTTCAATTGATTGTAGCTAGTTTGTCCGAAAAATGATATTCTAGGTCTTTGTTTGCTGTTTTGCAAATATTTACACATAGAGCAACACTTCATCCTTTCTGAGGTTACTCCTTTATCTCTGATGATTGCAAACAACATGGAAATGTTTTTCATTATTTCATACGGCAGGTTCTGTTGTAACTTTTTCGGTATAATTTGGCATTTTTTTCCCAATTGATAAACTTGTCATGGAAGGAGAAGCTCATCTTTGTAACAAGGTCGAAAAGCTCTTAAAACAAATGCAATGATGAAGATTGAATTATATTGCTTATTTTCTAGTAGAAACTTTGCTCTGTGCAAAGGCTTTGTGCTTCTTGGTTCCCATCCAAAGTCATCTTCGTTTCTACTGCGAATTGTTATCTTTCAAGCACTGACAATGGCCGGCTTTTACTTATGCCAACTTACTTCCTTTATCCTTGCAGTTGCTCACATCGCTGGTGCGGAGGTGGTGAGATCTTAAGCTCAAAAAAGCAAGGATTACCACCAACCTTGTGTAAGTACAATTTTGAAGGCCATAGTCGGATCATATGCAGAAACTGCTTGACAGGTTCGCAGACAGAGGCAATGCACCCGCATACTAATATTAAGAAGATGTAGCTGATTAATCACTTGTATTACTGTATGCAGTCTGACTCAATCATTCTAATACTAATGAATAAACTGTGCCCGCTTGATCATGATTTTTTCTGTTTCTTCCTACTTTATGCACAAACGATTGCTGCTTCGCTTACAGATGCAATTGCCTGTTTTGCACCGAGTACACCAATGTTCCCTCGCTAACAAAGAGCAGACAAATGCTATGGATTCAGAGTAACGGTACATTTTTATCCCCTTGTCATCACCAGGAAACATCTCAAAAATGAGTGGAGAACAATATGATTTTTTGCAGTACAGCTGCAGGGAGCATGGGGGGAAAGAGAGGAGATTTTAGGGTGCAAATTGTAGTGGTTAGTTAGTGAAGTGCTAACGGTATCACTGACAAGAACTGGAGGTGAGACGCAGAAGGCCTGATCCCTACTACTTCTACGCTACTAGGATCACTGACGGCTCAGCCAGCCAAGCAGGTCTAGTCTAGATGCCGCCCCTGAAGAAGGGCTCGCCGAGGAAGGAGCTGGAGTAGGTGCCGCCGCCGTTGGGGAAGAGCGTGAGGAGGCAGACGACGGCGAGCACGAAGCCCCACGCGTAGCGCTCGCTCCCCAGCGGCGTGATCTCGTCCTGCGCCGGGATCTCCTCCCCGCCGCGGATGAAGGTGGCGAAGAGCCCCCACGCCAGGCACAGCACGCTGCCGCCGACGGCGCCCGCCCCCAGCAGCAGCGACGTGCCGAACGACAGCAGCGCCGCCGTGCGCCGCCCGAACAGCGCCTGCGCGACCCGGCCGCCCTCCAGCCGCCCGACCGGCAGCAGGTTCAGCGACGTCACCACGATCCCCAGCAGCCCCGCGAACGCCAGCGGGTCCACCGGCACGCCCACGCCCTCCACCGCGTTCGGCAGCACGTTCCCCAGCTCGTCCGCGTACGGCCCGATCACCTGCTGCACGAACGACAGCAGCGGGTTGTTGTAGAAGAACTCCGGCCGGATGAACCTGCCAGTCCGCCGCGCGCGAAACGTCGTCAGAGCTCTGGCTGGGGTTAACAATGGCGAGATCGATGTGTGTGTGGTGGTGCTGCTGCTACTTACAGGGCGTTCTCGCCGCCGTTGAAGCTGCCGTCGGCGATGAAGGCCGAGACGGCCAGCACCACCGACGTCAGGTACGCGCTGGCCGTGCGGGCCACGGGGATGTCGAACAGGGCCTTCTTGCTCGGCAGCAGCGACTCGTAGTTGTTCATCACACCCAGGCACCCCGTCCAGTTCGACGGCACCAGGAACGATGGGCTCAGCTTCACCCCGTACCTCGCCGCCGTCAACCTCGTCGCGATCTGCCATGAAATTGTTGTTCCCAAGACCATTATTACAAGGACGAGCATACATGCAAGAAAAGCTTAACGGAAATGATAAAGCTTAATTAGCAGGTGCAGTACCTCTGACACGCCGAGGATGGAGAGGAAGCCTCCGAAGAGGGGGAGGACGTCGGAGACGTAGTCGTCGAAGGACGCGCCAGGCTTGAGGAAGAAGCCGCTCATGAGAGCTATGGTCCCGAAGGTCGTGACGGCCAAGGCCACGGCGCTCAGGTAGCCCCACGGCGTGCTCAGCTTGGTCACCTCCAGCTGCAGCTCAATCTCTGCTTTCGGCTGCACCATGCAGACCTGCTTGGTGATGTCGTCGTTCCTCTCCTCCATGAACCACAGGGTGACCTCTGTCCCTGCCGCCTCGGCGATCTTCTTCTCCAGCTTCGGCCTCACCTCCTCGATGGGCTTCCTCAGGTTGCCGATGAAGATGCCACCGTCGCCGAACCTCCGCACGTCCACCGCGAAGAACGTGTCGTACCCGAAGCAGCTCTTGAGCTGCACCATTAATTCGAGCACCCAGATTTCAACAAATCTTCACGAAAATTTTCCCATGATTGAACTGTGAATACCAACTAGCAGTACAAGCGATGATCGTTGAGGTTAATGAATAGATTACCTTGTTGAGGTCGAGCGCCTTGAAGGTCTGCTCGGCCTCCTCCAGCCTCTGCTTCTCCCGTTCCAGCGTGCCCTTGATGAACCCACGGAGCAGGCCGCCGACCGGGCTGGCGTCGGGCTCGCGGTCGAGCTCCCGGAGCTTCCGGTCGGCGCGCTTCTTCTCGAGCTTGATGGCGGCCTCGATGGACGGGTTGCCCATGAACTTCTTGAACTCCTCGTCCGACCTCCAGTCCACCTCCTGCTGCTCATCCCTGCTCTTCTTCTCGCTGTCCTCGCCATCACCTCCTTCCTGATGATCTCCTCCCCCTCCTCCGGCATGATGCGACGACACCTTCTTCGCCTCCTCAACCTTTTGCTCGTCAGGAGCAACGGCAGTGGAGGAGACCGGCCGGTTCTCCGTCGCCTGATTTTGCTCCCGCAGCGAGCACCTGAATAGGGAGCTTCTCCTGAGAGGCCTGAGAGGTGGCCTGTGATGGTTCTTGCAGAAGCTTCTTGGTAAGGTTGCTCTCCCACCAGTGCTGCTGATGCTGCTACACACGATAGTTGCAACGAGCGAAGTGGAAGCCATTACTGGTGGCGAGCTGCTGTGAAGCTCGATTGATGGTGCCTGCTGCCTGTTCGATCTGGTGCTTTGATTTTGGTGTGGAGATCCTGGGAGCTCATGGGGGGAGCTTAAAATGGTTCGGAAGGAGCAGGAAGGCGAGCGTTCTAGAAGGCTGGAGAATGCGCCGGGAGGAGTCGTGAAGAATGCGACGGCCGGAGCAGCAGATGTGATCGAGTAGTGGCGGGTGGCGACGAAGGAGGTGAAGGCCCCGGCTTATCCAATTGGTCAAGAGAAATGTACACTTGGCGGCAGCTCGGCTTGCTAGAGCTTCTAGCGTGGGCCCTGCCTCGAAAGTCTTTGGTAACTTGCTTTCCGTACACTCACATTTGGGCCAAATTCGAACATTTTAACTAGTACTCCATCCATTTCAAAATAAGCGTCTTTGATTTAGTACTATCTCCGTCTTATTTGTCGCTTAAACGGATGTATCTAGCACTGAAGCACATCTGGATATATCCATTTCAGTGACAACTAATTCCGGATGATGGTACTAGTACAACTTCGACTAAAGTTGTAGTTAATCAAATCAAAGACACTAAAGTTGTACTAAATTAAAGACACTAAATTTGTATTGGTAGTTTTTTTTTGCGGGGTGTAGTAGTAGTCATTTTGACATTAGAAATTGTTTGCTATCATTTTGACATGCCGGAGAATTTTTTTAGATCATTAGTTTGTAATGAAAAATATTTGAATATTTTTTATATTTAAAGATGCTTGATTTAGGACGAACTATAACTTTAAGTATTTTGCAAAGGAGGCAGTGTTCATGTAACAAGATTAATTGTTTATATATGCATGAGGGAGTGTACAGTAACATGGCTCGCTAAAATCTACATACATGAGAATATAGGATTTGCAGAGCTTATACAACTGAACATGTATGTTTTCAAGTCCAAGAAAATATACTCCTTTTGTTTGCAATTATAAGATGTTGACTTTCGCTTCTTTTACGCGTGACTTTGACTATAATTTTGTTTAGATATATTTTTTCTGAAATGTTTTTTTGTTTAAAAGTAATATTAGATTTAGATTAAGTCTCTTTTAAGTGTTGTGTGTGTATCTACTGTGGCGGCGTTTTGATGTCGCGTGGAATAGAAGTCCAATAGTTTGATCACCATCTTGGTTTGGTTCTCTGACAACACCACAAACCCTGTCGTATTCTCGTCATATAGGCATGGTGGATTGTCATCCAATGTGTGGCGTTGGTGACGATGATGCTGGGTTCGTGTCTATTTTGTCCAATGGTTCTATAGTGGGTGACAAAGTAGTGATTCAGTAGCCTGACCTACTAGATATCTTTGTTTTTGTTTGAAAAACTAACTAGTGAATGATCATTCATTACAAACTTAACGACAAACCATTTGGCGGCCATAGGGTCTAGGAGTCGACATTGTCTAACTTGGACTCTTGAAGGTACCCGCCTACTTGGGAGGTTTCCTCCTTCGTAGCTACGCCCAGTTGCCGGCTGTGGGCACCCGGGGAGGCATTCTCATGCTTTGGGATGGTTCCGTCATTGACATCAATGACACTGTGGTATTGGAATTCTGTCTCTCCGCCTCGGTCACCTTGCGTGAGTCTAGCAACACGTTCAAGGTCACCACCATCTATGGCCCTTCTACCACCTCGAGAAAAGATGATTTCTTTGCTGAATTGATCACTCAAAAGCCTGCATATGGATCCAAGTGGCTGGCCCTAGGTGACTTCGATCAAATCTACCGGGCACGTGACAAGAATAGGCGCAATATTAATAGAGGCCGCAACACCCTTAAATCTTGTGGGCTCAAAGAGATCCACCTCTAGAACCATCGCATCACTTGGAGTAATGAAAGGATAAATCCTACTGTGTGCAAGCTTGACTCTTTTTTCTGTAACACCGAATGGGACATCCACTTCACTCACGTTTTGCATGCCTTGTCTTCGCCTCTCTCCGACCATTGCCCGCTCTTTCTTGCTAATGAATGTGGCCCTAGAAGACTCCAGAGCTTCAAGTTCGAAAATGTTTGGCCCTCCCTTCCGCGATTCAATGAGAATGTGCATAACGCTTGGAATGAGCATACGGTGCACACCGAGCCTTGCCAAGTGTTATTCCACAAACTTCCACAAACTCAGGAAGACTAGTGTCCAGCTTTACGAATGGAGTAGAAGCCTCTTCTCCAAATCCAAACTCCAACTTCATCCTGCTCTTAGGATCATTCTTGAGCTCGATGTGGCCCAAGAATCCCACACCTTAAGCCAGGCCGAGCATGATCTCCGGCCTCAGCTCCAGAAAAGAGTGGTGAGTTTGGCGGTCCTTGAGCGTTCAAGAAAGAAACAATCTACTCACATTGCAAATTTGTAGGAGGGTGATGCCAACACCAAATACTTCCATGGGCACATCAATGCTAGAAGGTGAGAAAACTACATTCCCTGATTGGAGCGTAATAATGGTTGGGTCACCAAGCATGATAGAAAGTAGGAAATCATTCTTGATCACTTCTCAAACATCATTGAAAAGGCAAATGCTAGGAAGAAAGACTTCAATTGGGATCAATTTCATTTTGAGGACTGTGACCTTGGTAAGCTTGATGAGCCCTTCACGATGGAGGAAGTGCATAATGCCATCAAGCAAATGCCCATGACAAGGCCCCTCGACCCGATGGTTTCACCAAAATGTTCTTCAAATCATGTTGGGGAATTATTAAAGATGATGTTATGCAGGTGATCACTACAAAAAAAATGCACTTCCGTGATGATACGTGTTTGTCACAGTAGGTCGCGTTTTCTGTCATGCATGTACATCCATGACAAATTTATGACAGAATCAAGATAGTCATACATGTGCTGTCGTAGAAGTGTTCCATGACATTACCAAAATTATCATCACGAAAGTGTCCACTTCCATGACGATAAATCGCGCGTCACAGAAGTGCTTTCGTCAAGGGTGACTGACACGTGGCATCCACCGTAACGGAACACCGTTAAGCTATTGGGTCGGGTTTTGGATCCGATAACCCGTTAACAGCCCCGACCAATGGGGATTTTCCACGTGTAAAATCATCATTGGCTGGAGGAAACACGTGTCGGCTCGTTGTTGGGATAGATGTCATCCACTCATTGGACAGAAGGCGCCTATGATACGTTGACATGTGGCACGACCCAACAGAGGCCCATTCCTGTGAAAAGGCCGGCCCGTTTGACTTGGTCAAAAGGTGACGTGTCGGCCCATGGAAAGCCTGTTAACGGCCTGTTCGCATATAGCCCATTTACAGCCCGCTAACCCAAGGCCCGTTACGCCCTATCCGAATTAGGCCCAGTAGCATCATCTGGGCCATCCAATATGATTCCAGCCCGTTTTCACTTCTGGCCCATGTATGGCCCATGACGTCTTTCGGCCCATATGAGGCCCTATGTAACTCTTGGCCTATTAACGGCCCGTGGTGAAACTGGCCCGTAATGAGCAGTGTATCACTTTATACCCATTAAGGGCCCGTTATTCAGTTGGGCCATTTCCAGCCCATGTTATCTTTCGGCCTTCTTAGAGCCCATTTATTCTTGGGCTCATTTCGAGCATTCGTTTACTTACGGCCCATTACTGTCATTTTCTGCTTGTGGGCCAAATTCAGCCCGTGGTTACAGTCGGCCCATTTGTGGTCCGTTAATACATTGGGCCGTTTTCATAGCGTCATCAAATATAGCCTATTAACGATGGCCCGTTATGGTCGGTCCATGAACAGACGATTCCAACTCTAGCCCGTTTACGACCATAACGTGGCCTGTTATTGGCCCATGTTTGGCCAATCGATCATACGACCCGTATAAGGCCCATTGATGATACGGCCCGTAGAAGGCCCATTGTTTCTATGGCCCGTAGAAAGCCCAATGTTTCTACGGCCCATAGAAGGCCTACTGTTTCTACGGCCCGTAGAAGGCCCACTGTTTCTACGGCCCGTAGGAGGCCTAGTGTCACTACAGTAAATATTAGCCCATGGTTATTGTGGCCTAGTTTTAAAAAATAGGTTATTGCAGCCACTAGTAAACCACGGAAAAAGAACTGCACTGACTACAAGCAAACAAATAAACAAGACAACAAGGAAATAAATAAGTAAGGAACTTATGCTAGGGTATCACGGCTATTACACATATTACATCCACTGGGCATCAAAGTTCACCACCAGTCCAAATATAGGGAACACAACAGCATATAAATGCCGCAGCAAAACAAGTCCAGAACTGAAACCACTTCAGAAGAGTTCAAGAAACAATATCCTGGGTACCCATAATGTTGGAAAGATGCTTAGCAAGCTTATTAACTTTCTCTTATTTGGCGCTTAAATCCTCCAGCGCTTGCTGTTGCACAAGAAAGTACGCATCTGAATTCTGCAGGGACTTCCTCAGTCCTTCGGCTTCTTGCCGCATCACGGCTGACTGATGCCTTTCAGCTTGTAGCTGAGACTGAAGAAGCCGAAGTGATTCAGGCAGCGAGTTCGAAGAGCTTGTGCCAGTGGTACTGGCCAGTAACTCAAACACTATATCAACGCAGGACTGTGGGGTTTTCTCAATGTCAGATTTCGGGTTCCGACAGACCCTTGAGGTTCGAACACTGGGGTACGCGCAGAGATTATGCCCTCTGCCTACCTGCTCCTCACCGAATCGCTAGGATCTAAACTACGAAAGAATCAGCACAAAGACACAGGGTTTATACTGGTTCGGGCCACCATTGTGGTGTAATACCCTACTCCAGTGTGTGGTGTGGTGGATTGCCGCTTGGGATGATGATGAACAATACAAGGAAGAACAGCCTCGCGAGGGTCTGTTCTTGGCTGGTGCGATGAACTGCTAGGAGGAGTTCAGTCGCCCTATCTCTCTCTCTTTCTATTCTAGATGTATGCCAGATACCAGATCATCATCTACCCTGGGGGTGGCTAGTCCTATTTATAGGCAAAGGCCCTGGGCCTCTTCCCAAATATTGAGCGGGAAGGGCGCCA